AAAAAAGGTACAACCCCAACAAAATCAAGTGAAAAAAATATGAGACCAAGAATAAAGGTGGAAAAAGATGAAGTACATAGATGATAGAGAGCTATGATTAATAAAATTCTCTATCTTTTGTATTCTCCAAAAACACTTTATGGGGAAAAAACCAAAACAAATAAACAAACAAAAAACGCTTTTCATTATGATGCCCAAAACCACCATGCCTAATTTTTGTACTTTTAGTAGAGATGGGATTTCACCATGTTGGCCAGGCTGGTTCTGAACTCCTGACTTCAGGTGATCCACCCACCTTGGCCTCCCAAAGTTCTGGGATTACAGGCATAAGCCATCGTAATTATGAGGTTGCTTGGTGAAATGGTAATTCTGTTTTTAGTTCTGTGAGAAATTGCCACATTGCTTTTTACAATGGTTGAATTAATGTAAACTGTTGACAGTGTATAAAGTATGCCCTTGTCTCTGAAACCTTGACAGCAACTATTTTTTTGCTCTCTTTTCTTACCTATCACACAGCCAGAAAAATGCTTTGCGCATTTTCTCCTTTTTCTCATTAAAAATCAGTTGACTTTGTCTCCAGTGGTAAACATAAAATACTTCTTAATCAAACTGAACTTAAGTATATTTTCTTCCCACAGGCTCCTGAACTTTGAGCTACCCTCAGTCTGAGTCAACACACAAATGTATTTTATGTTCCTCCTAAGAACATGCTGACCTCAGGGTAAAACGTTCTCTATCTAAAATCTGATTTTATTACCCTCCATGTAAATATTCCCCTCCTACCTCATTACTAATCCTGTTTGCTTTTCCCTAGGAAAAATAAAAGTCACTGTCTGCCTAATCTTTTCAATCTTTGAAAATCTTACAGTTGCTACTTCCTCCTGTTGCAATATTCCTTTGAAATTCAATTTCTTACATGTATCTAACTTTTATTTGAAAAAGTCTAGAAACTGCCTCAAAACAATAACTTCATCTTCAGCAAGACCCTCCTAATACCCTTTTACATTAACCTTAACTGCGTCTGCGTGTGGGTTGCCAGCTTTCCAGGGCTCTGTAGATTCTCTCAGTAAAGAGGCTTCTTCCATAGCTGGGGTGAGCAGGCTAGGACATCTGCAGGGGAGGCTCCCCAAAAGGAACTAACTGGGCCTTTAAAATTAGGCTTAGCTTGGAGTCACTGGGCTTAAGCTTTAATTTCTATGTCAGAATTATTAACTTGGTTTTTGAAACCATAACTAGGTGGTAGAATAATTCAGCAAAATTACGCAAACAGTGTTCATACAAGGGAAGAAAATTTTAAGGTGCTTACATCTTACACCTCAGTAAGAAAAGCAAATGTATTTATTCCTTCCAGACAATAAATGTATTATGTTATTATTTGTATCAAAAATCATGTAGTAAACAATTAGCTGGGCACAGTGGCTCATGCCTGTAATTCCAGCACATTGGGAGGCCAAGGTGGGTGGATCACCTGAGGGCAGGAGTTGGAGACCAGACTGGCCAAAATGGTGAAACCCCATCTCTACTAAAAATGTACAAATTAGCCGGGTGTGATGGCAAGCGCCTGTAATCCCAGCTACTCAGGAGGCTGAGGCAGGAGAATCACTTGAACCCAAAAAGGCAGAGGTTGCAGTGAGTTGAGATTGTACCACTGAACTCCAGCCTGGGTGACAAGAGTGAAACTCCATTTCAAAAAATAAATAAATAAATGAAATAGTCACACGGGAACACTTCTAGGAGGTACTAAGTTTCATCACATAAAATTTAGCATTAAACTCAGAAATTAAGAAAACAGGAGTCCCAGCTGCTTCGGAGGCTGAGGCAGGAGAATCACTTGAACCCAAAAAGGCAGAGGTTGCAGTGAGTTGAGATTGTACCACTGAACTCCAGCCTGGGTGACAAGAGTGAAACTCCATTTCAAAAAATAAATAAATAAATGAAATAGTCACACGGGAACACTTCTAGGAGGTACTAAGTTTCATCACATAAAATTTAGCATTAAACTCAAAAATCAAAATACCAGGATATAGAACCAGGCACGGTGGCTCACATCTGTAATTCCAGTACTTTGGGAGGCCAAGGTGGAAGGATCATGAGGGCAGGAATTCGAGAGCATCCTGGGCCACATGGTGAAACCCCATCTCTACTTAAAATACAAAAATTAGCTGCGCGTGGTGGTGCACCTCTGTAATCCCAGCTACTGGGGAGGCTGAGACAGGAGAATTCCTTGAATGTTTGAACCCAGGAGGCAGAGGTTGCAATGAGCTGAGATCACAACACTGCACTCCAGCCTGGGCCACACAGCGAGACTTCGACTCAAAAATAAATAAATAAATAAATAAATAAATAAATAA